AGATTACAACTGTGCAGATACTTTCATTACTGTTTTATAGCAAAATGGTGTGGTTATTGCTTAATAGTACTTCTTTTTATATTTACAAAAGAACAGAATTATGAAAAAAGAATAAGCATTTCTGTGTTTTTGATGTAATATATATGGTCTGTGTTTTTGATGTAATATATATGGTTTATATATATTTATAAAATTCTCTACCTTTTGTTACAAAAATTGGAGGTGATTATGCTGCTCCATTAAATGTATTTTTGGGGAGCACACCATATTTGTGAATAAAAATGCAAAGTGATTGTTTCCTGACTGTAGTAGCAACTGGCTAAACATTTATAGACTTGCTATGATGAATAACCTGACTATAACTCCAAGGCAAATAGAAGTGTTTCTTTTGCTGGTAAATTATTTCATATAACGTGTGCTATTATAAATGTACACTTGTACATCAATATTTTTAGATGTAATAAAATATGCAAATTGTCATTGGATAAGATAATCATAGCAGAAATCATCTTTTTCTTCATGGAGTGATTTTTATGCTACACTTTTTATGCTAACTATAAGTACAAAGATTTTCTTCAATGTAAGTCTTTTAATATGTTAAAATGGGAACAATCACTGGTTTTGATATTATAATGGCATTTAATATTTGATTATTTTTCAGGAAAAACTCACAGCAATATACATAAAAATAATTTTCAATTACATATGCGTTCTAGGCTTTCTTTCAATGTGACCAATTTAGAAAATATGAATGTATTTCAAATAATAATTTTGCTTGTGTGTTTCACATATTATTCTTTATCTGAATGGTGTAATATTAAGAGGGCCATTATTGTCCCTGTGAAGTAAATTAGGAACTTTTTATTTCCTTTATCTTTCATGTGACTCTATTTATTTCTTAACTAGTGTGACAGATGTGGTTTAAAATAAAAATTAGGCTATTACTAATGAAAAATGTGTTGGAAGCTTCTGTGCTGGTAACAACAAAATGTCACAGAGCACTCATTTTCCTCTTGATTTGGTGGCGTGGTGATTGTGGAAAAATTTGTAATAAACAGAATAATGCAATGGTTAATGTTACAGCAAAATGAAATTTTACTTTGATTTACTGAAAAGATACACATTAATAAGCAGCCAATTGATTACTATTTACAAAACATAGTTGTTAGGCATCAAATTATTTTTCTCCTCTACGCTTTACTATAAGCTAATCAAGATTTTAGACACAATACCGATTAATGGCATACACACGGTACAAAATTAATGGTAATTTAAACAGTTTGAAAATAGCAAAAGAAAAAATAGGGCATGAGAAGAGAGCGAATATCTGCATTACACTAAACAAATTTGGAGCTGTTTCAATAGCTTTGTTATTCACAAATTTGACTAAAACATTGCATATTGTAATTATCAGATTATTATATGCTACTAAACTAGAAGCACAGATTCAACTACTATTCTTAATAGAATTTATTATATTTATCATTAAAGTTGTTAGTAATCCAAATTTATTACATTTGCAACATTTAGGTTGAAAATACATGATGTAAGTGTGCCCCCATGTGGCTATAGACTAATTTTTAAGAATGTAAGAAAGATATAAATGGAAAGAGGGCCTTAACTATTTCTATTATCTAGTGACTACTTACCCCAACCCAGGAAAAGAATTGTCTCTCCTACTTTAAAAATTATTTATTCTAAGTTAGAGGTTTCATATTTTTTCTCATAGTTCTTATAAATATTTTATTTTTAATAGCCATATATGTTAACCAACACATCCACCTCTGATTCTGGAGTGGTATAACATAGTTAAAAACACATAAATCAACACAAAAAGAAACCTTATTTCTCCTAACATATATATTGTTTGATTAAGTCAAGCCTGAATATCTGCAAGTATTTTAAAATACATTTGTGATTAAATAGGATAATGTATCAACTAAAAAATTTATATTAGGGCAGGCCAACACCTGAAAAAGTAGTTTGTCTGTTTGTGTGATGTACAGGAAGACTGCTATTTGTTTATAACTTTTGTTAATCATCAAGATATTGGATATCTATAATATACATTGTAGATGCCACAAAATTCGAAACCCCTTTTCTATATAGTTTCTTTGTAGAGTTGCCAACATTTTTATTTTGACACAAAGAAATATTTCCTAGTTAATACTCTTCTTCTAGTCACTAGTCATTTAACTAGTGACTTTGAGTCATTTAACTCTCTAGTCACTAGTTGCAAGATGCAAAGACTTATCTACTGACCAGTTCATGCTTCTGGAAAAACTTTGTAAAGACTAGTTGTTAATTAGTCTGTTAGATATAAACAGGTATCAAGATTGCTGAGGTGTGCAGTGTGTCTACAATTGTACAAATCTTAGAAATGAATGAGTTGGGAGTGTTAAAAATCTAAAACAAGTGTGATTTGGGAAAATTGTGAGTCAGAAAAAGAAACTTTAAATTACAGAAAAGGAAAATATCTACTGTTGAATTGTACATCTGAAACACTGGATTTTGTTAACCAATGTCACTATAATAAAAAAATAAAAATAATAAAAAAAGAAAGGAAAATATCAGTCTATTCATATTTAAATTTTGAAGGACAAAGACTAAGACTGCTTCTTTTAGACATTATAAAAACAAGAACCTTAACTGTATAATTAAAAGGTTGAATTTTCAATTAAACAGGTGTTTCAATTCTAAGCAACTTTAACATAGCTGGTCTCAGTGCTAGTTTCTTCAGGCTAAAATATAGCTTCCCGTATTTTCCATTTTGTTGCTTTTTTAAATTAGCCCCAAATGCTGTGCATCTACTCCAGCCTTTTATCACTAAAAAATTGTAAAAGTAAAATCAGAAATAAACTCAATTTTAAGGAGTGCAATGATTAAAAAAATAATGCAAACATCTATTTTATATTTTCTCTATTAAACATTTCTCTACTTAATTTAAATTTATGGTTCAGCATAGCAACTTTTTGCTTTTGAAGAAAAGGTTTTTTCTTTAATTTTAATTACAGGATTGGAAGACATTTAAGTTGTTTGTTTTAATAATCCAAGCTTATGCTAATGTTAGTTTGGTCATTTAACATATTTTTTAAAGTTCTCAAAGAACAATATTTCACAAATAAATATTGATGTCTGCCAATTTTTTTTTTTTTGCTGATTGAAATGAGCTATATATTTTAAAAAAAACAAATCAAACTATTTCTTACTCCACCCTTTCCACCTATGTTATCTAAAAGAAGAATTTTAAATGTGAGAGTCAAAATATAAATAATAATAATAGCAATATTTCAAAAAACATCTTACTCTTTTTTGGAAAATTTTTCTCACACTGAGGGAGAAAAACAAGTTAGAGTAGGAGAAAAAGACAAAGCAATGAATGAAATGATAGCATTTGTAATCCTAATTTAAAATCTCATAGCATTGAAAATCTCTTAGCAAATGTTAGGTTGTTGTCATATAGATATTGATTCTTAGCCAAAAAATTTTATTGAGTGCCTGAATGAAATATTTTCTCATGCTTTTTCTTTTTGTCTTGGATATCTTAGGCTCCTTAATAATTTATATTTGGCAAAGCAATTTGAAACTAATTTTTTATTATAACTTTTATTTGACAAATTTATTTATAACTCCTTTCACATTTTTGAAAATAAATCCAGAGACACTCTAGTTAAGGTAACTTACTGAATAGTGATCATTCTTATGTGTTTAGAAAGGAAATGTTACAGAACAATGAAATAGTGACACTTAGACAGAGCTACCTAAATCAACCTGAGCTACAGATTAGCAAATTGGTTAATTTATGCTTCCTTTGTCTCATTTAGAATATAAAAAGCTAATTAACTCCCTTCTTTTTTGGAGTAGTTTTAAATCTCATGCCCTGACCCACAATTTTGATCTATATCACCTTCTTCAAGTGTTGAGAGTAAACGATATTGAGACATGCTTGAAAAGTATATGTTGTAAATGGTACATATTTAAAAAAAAAAAAAAAGTTATTTTTTTCTGTTCATAAATAGTATGAGTTGGCTTGTAAGGCACCAAATTAGCTTCTAAAATGGAGGCTTTGACCATTAAGTATGCTGTGTAACATTTACAATGAACCCTACAGTACTAATAGAGAAGCTCAATGTTTTTCTTAAAAAAACAAAAACAAAAACAACTCTAATTACTCTTTCCATTTCTTATTCACAAAACCAGTGCTAAGACATTGAATTATTTTTCTCTCTTGCAGTCTAGAATCAACCCCAAACCGTCGATTGTAATAACATTCCTTGCTCCTCTGGAATAAAATGTGAGAAATGAGTGCTTGGAGAATTCTTGTTCAGTCTGAACAGGCATACATTGTTTACTCTGCTATACATGGTCCTCTGTTTTCAACTAGGTTGATACAAAAAAATAGATTGTTGAAATCCTCAATTCTAAGTGTAAATTCAACATTAATGATATTTTCTAAGGAAAAAAAGGAGCAGATAAAATTGCACACATTTCTTTTGCATATATAATTTCCCAATAACAAGTACATGTACAGTGAACATTTTATTTGCAGCTGGTTGAATAGAAGTAATTGACCAATAAAATACCAAAGACTATTCATCTTTGAATAGTCTCGACAGTACAGGCACAGTTACATTATCAAAAAAACGAATGCCATTCAATATCTAGCCAATGGAAATAATATAGATTGCTTTGCATTTTTCATTGTTCTTGATTAAAAATAGACCACAATGTAGAAATGTATTTCTAAGCAAATTCGGCGTCAGTGATATGTACTAATACAGCATTACCAAAGTGTATGTTTTCAGAACTGAGGCCATCAAAGACACTCCCATTCTCAATGTCCCAGAAAAATAGAAACGTATGCGGATACGGGTGACAATACATTAAAACTTAGCATGAAAACTTTTTGCTTTATAACACTAGTTATATTTATGGATAAGTTAACATCTATTAAAGCTAAATGCATCACATAGCACCTTTCCTTTTATATCTTAAAAATGTACATTAGCAAGAATGAAAGAAAAAAGGATGGATTAAAAAAGCCCACAGTCTTTCAGATTCTCTTTGATTATTATATCTGTAACTGCATCAAACACAAACTTGACATTTTGGGTATCTGTAGCGCAGGTCATGTGAGAATAAATTTCCTTATCTTCTTTTCTTAAATTCAGGTCTAGAAATTGGTTCTTAATGTAGTTTCCTGCATCTTCAAATGTATTTGGCCCTTGTTAAAAAATAATAAAATAGTAAACATTAATTTCATTAAAAATAAAATTATAAATATCTATGTTTTAGGATTTTACTTTGTGAGCTGCTATTTGATGTACTCTGTATAGAAAAATTAGTATTGGCAATGGTCAATTATTTGAGATTTATGCAACATCTATTTTGTGCTCAGAACTATGCTTACCCCACTGAGAGCTTCAGGTGGCTAAAATTTAACCTCATCATAAAAAAAGCTTGTGATACAGTAGAAGTACTGACATATTTATGAAACGAAGTGAGTAATAAAGCTTATTTTATATGCCAAAGGATGCACATGTATATGTATATGTGGGTGTGTGTAGTTTCTTTATTTAATATGGACTAAATGAAGAAAATAATAGAAATTATAGGTGAATGAATTACAAAATGAGGTGTAATTGAGCTGGACATTGAGGAATAGCTAGAAGAGAGAAGAAAGTAGTATGAGTGAAAATCAAAAGTGAGTGAGAGTAGCCTGTACTGCTAGACTTGAGGATAGGGTTGAGAAGTAAATGTGCACTTCGGAGAATCTGATCGAATGGAAATAAAAGATTTTTATAGAGGAATTATAGAACAGATGTAGAACAGATGGTATGGGCCAGATCATGGACTTAGTTGCCAAAGAAAAAAAGTAGGTGAGGTGAGATATGTAAGACTATGTAGAGAACTATTCTTGACTGATGTTTCAGTAGAGTTAAATAAAAAGTCGATGAAGACTGTACTTGACAAGGTTTAGACTAATAGCAGGATATACAACTGATCAGTTGGAGAAAGACAGAAATAAAATAGGATGGCAAACAAATACAAAGCAGCTAAAAGAGACCTGACGACAGGCTTTATAACAGAATATGCTTAGTAGGGAGCTAACACAAACTAGGGCAATAGCATAAAGATTTTCCAGGTAGATAATTTTGTTCCCATTTTATTGTTACTGGCAAAATTATGGAAACAGTGAAAAGATCAGTGTTTGCTAGGGTTTGGAGGCGAGGGGACAGGCATGAATGGATGGAGTACAGGGATTTTTAGGGCAGTGAAACTATTTTGTATAATACTGTAATAGTGGATACATGACATGCGTTTGGTGAAAGCAGTAGAACCATATAACCCTATAACACAAAGTTAATCCTAATACAAACTACTGACTTTCGTTAATAATGTACCTATATCTGTTCATCAATGGTAACAAATATACCACACCAATGCAAGGTGTTAATTATAGGAGAAACTGTGGAAGCTGAACTGAGAGGGGGAATATATGGAAATTTTGTATTTTCTTTTCTAAACTAAAAATTGTTCTAAGAAATAAACTCTAGTAGTTAAAAGAAAACATATAGCCCTTAATTATGTCTATATTTAATCTGAAATATTCAATATAAAATCACTATTTAATCACATGATAAATCTGATATTTATATTAATATTTATATAGAAGAAAGATACAAGCACTAATTATAGATCAGCTCACATACATATTCTGGCAGAATGGCATGCTCCTAATAACATCTGGGCTATCAATGTATCTAAGTGGTGAAATTTGGCTTGTATTTGAGTTTAAATCATAAATATTTCCATCTAACACAATTTCATTAACAACAGAGCATATAACTATTTACCAAAAAAAAGCCTCCGACGAAAAAACAATCTTTCTAGAACCTGAAATATATAGTCATTGATTAACAGAATCAGCGCTAAAACTCTAAGAACTAGAAAAACTGGACAAAAACAAGATGTCATTATTTTCAATTTGTTCGTGCTACTTCTGGAAACTTAATTCAGACTTTGAAGAGCCACTGAGATCTAATACAGCATTACAAGGTTTCATTAGAAAATACATTTAAAATGCCAATTTGAAATAAAATTTGCATTCTTATTATAATTTTTAAAACAATAGTTTACAATGTCATTTCATATTTAGAACAGCAGCCCTGGTCTATCTAACCACATCCCATTTATTCATTAGAGCTTTGTTTTAATGCAGAGTGTAGAGAAGATTTCTTCTTTATTTGTAAGATTCTTTCCTGTTTAGATCATACACATGACTCAAAAAATTATCACAAGTCTCAACCTGATAAATATTATATGTCAAAATCCAGACAGAAAAAAATATATACCTATACAATAACTTACTACTATGTCATTAAAGAAAAAAAAAAATCTTACCAGTGTACTCTGGAAAGCAGATACTAAGATGAACTTTGGTTACTTTTTCTTGAAAGAGATCTTTTTTATTGAGAAATAGAACAATGGAGGTGGTCGCAAAGTACTTGTGATTACAGATACTGTTAAACAGGTGAAGGCTTTCATGCATTCTGTTCTGTTTGTTTAAAAGATGAAAATGTGTAGGATTAGTATTTGCAAAATACTACTGTCAGGCATTATAAACAAGAATCTAGAAATAGTAGCTATCTTTGGAAGGCTTTAATTGTTTTGGAAAATGTGGTAGTAATATTGGAAACCACAAACCCTTGTCTATCACTCTGGCCTTATTTTCCTTTCAGACTTACCACTTCTTCATCTTCCACTAGGACCATGTCGTAGGCACTGAGTGCGGCACAAAATATAATGCACGTAACACCTTCAAAGCAGTGAATCCACTTCTTTCTCTCAGATCTCTGTCCACCTACATCGAACATTCTTTAAAAAAATAAAAATAATAGAATAATGAATCTTAAAAATAGTCCCCATAATTCGTATTAAGATTTACAAATAATGGATGCTCTCATATCTTTAAATGGTATTCTTTTGATTTTTCTTGATTATAAAATCAGTCTTTTTTGGCCAATTTGAAGATCAAGCACTAAAAAAAGGAATTTCATCTTTTTTAAATTTATGTAGACTAGAGTAAAATAATTCACACAATGACTTTGAGCACCTGAGAAATTTAAAGCAGTTTAGAGTTTTAGGATAAAATTTGTTAGCCTTAAGTGATTTAGGTCAAAGGCTACATACAGTCTTAAATTGACAGAATCTACAAGAAGACTGGAAGTTGTCATAGTTCTGATACTATGATTCTTTTGTTCGTGGTGTAAGGTAGTGGTTCTTTCTTAGCTCTTCCTACGTTCATTCTTTTTTTTTTTTTTCATTTAAATAATTATTTGAATTAATTAATCATGAATTAGAAGAATTAATATTGTTAAACTGTCCATACTACCAAAGCAATGTACAGATTCAATGTAATCTCTATCAAAATTCCAATGGCAATATTCACAGAAGTAGAACAAAGAATTCTAAAATTTGTATGGAACAACAAAAGACCCTGGATAGCCAAAATAGTTTTGAGAAAGAAGAACAAACTGGAGGCATTATGTTCTCTGATTTCAAACTATATAACAAAGCTATAGTAATTAAAATAGTATAATATTGGCATAAAAACAGACTCATAGACAAAATAGAACAGAATAGAGAGCCCAGAAATAAACCCACACATATATGGTCAATTAATTTATGACAAAACAACCAAGGATATATAATGGAGAATGGATAGTCTCTTCAATGAATGGTGTTGGGAAAATTGGACAGCAACATGAAAAAGAATGAAACTGGGCCACTATCTTACACCATGAACAAAAGTATAACTCAAGATAGATTAAAGACTTGATTGTAAGACCTAAAACCATAAAACTCCTAGAAGAAAACATAGATAATAAGCTCTTTGACATAGGTCTTGATGATGATTTTTAAAAATCTGACACCAAGAGCAGAAATAAACAAGTGAGACTACACTGAATTAAAAAGCTTTATACAGCAAAAATAAAATAAAATAAAATAATAAAATAAAAACCATCAACAAAATGAAAAAGCAACCTACTGAATGAAAGAAAATAATTGCAAATCATAGAATCATATATCTGCTAAGGGATTAATATCTAAAATATACAAAGAAATCATACAACTCAATAGCAAAAAAAAGTTCAATTAAAAATGGGCAGAGGTCAGAATAGACATTTTTTCCAAAGAAGACAGATGGCTAACAAGTACATGAAAAGCTGCACAACATCACTAATCCTCAGGGAAATGCAAATCAAAACCACAATGAGCTATCACCTCATACCTGTTAGGATGGCTATTATCAACAAACAAACAAACAAACAAACAAACAAAAAACCCAAACAGGAAATAACGAGTGTTGGTGAGGATGTGGAGAAAAGAGAACCCTTGTGCACCACTAGTGGGAATGTAAATTTGTGCAGCCACTATGGAAAACATTATGAAGTTTCCTCAAAAAATTAAAGATAGAACTATTATATTACCCAGCAATTCAACTTTTTGGTATTTATTCAAAGAAAACACTAATTTAAAAAGATATATGTATTCCCATGTTCATTGGAACATTGTTTACAATAGCCAGAGTACAGGAGCAACCTAATTGTTCATTGATAGACGAATGGATACACACACACACACACACACACACACACACACACACACACACACACACAATGAAATATTATTCAGTTAGAAAAAAGAATAAAATCTTGCCATTTGCAACAACATGGGTGGACCATGAGAGCATTATGCTTAGTTAAATAAGTCAGAGAAAGACAAATACTATATGATTTGTTTTATATGTGAAATCTAAAAACAAAAAAACAAATCTAACCTTATAGATATAGAGAAGAGATTGGTGGTTGCAAGAGGTAGTGGGTAGGAATGAAAGTAGCAGTGAACTTTTGTTTTTGTTTTTTAGTTTAAATAAACTGAATAAAATTTTTTAGAAAACAATTATTTTTTTGTATTCTATGTATTAGACATGTACTAGGCCTACTGTCACAAAGATGAAAAGATATGGTCAGTATCTTCAAAGAGCTTTCTGTATTGTAGAGAAAAAATCGAATACTTTGTTATAATATTAATAAATATTCTAATATGCAAGGCAGAATGTGAGCCCAGAGGAAGATTTAAGTAAGCCCGAGGGATCACAAGGCTATTCTTTCAGTCCCTTTAATATCAACCTTTTTGCTATTTCAGGACTTTTTGCACAGCCTGTCTCCTTTCCATTTGAAACGATTCCCCTTTTCCTTATATAATACTTCTTTCACAAATTAACAAGCCTTAGCATTAATATCTCTTTCACAAAGAAGGCTCTCTCTATCCCTTATTTACTTTCCTAATTATATAATTCTCTCTTTATTTCCTTAATAGTAATTGTTACAATCAATTTTATCTGGTTCGTTTATTTTTTACGTTTAACATCTATTAGCTCCCCAACAGAATAGTGGCCTCATGAGGGCAGAGACATTTTCTGTATTAGTGATGGCTATAATCCTAGTGTGAGGCACTATGTCTGACACATAACAAACATGCAATAAATATTTGCTAAATAAATAAATACATTCCATGTTAATAGGATGGAGAGGTACTTTATGTAAAGTGCATGAACAAATCATCAAGGAATGAGAGAACATGGTGTGTTTGGGGTAAGCAAATAATTTATATTTTTGGAAACATGAAGATTAAAGTAAAACATTGAGGTATGTGGCCTGGTAGTTATTCATTTATTCATCAAATATTTATTGATCATGTCAGGCATTAAAGATTTAACCTCAAGAATTTTCTAATCTGGTGGTGATGGTGGTAGTGGTATGTGTGTATATGTGAATATACTAACAATATCCATATATAATAGGAAGTGTAGAGGTGGGTTATGATTTTGAAATGGAGTAATTAGAAACTGCAGAAAATATTAGTTGTATAAAAACTTGTGAAAATTAGGTTTGAGGGACTGAGCAAAGTGGAATCTAGAGAATAATGTTCTAGGTGGAGACAACAGAGGAAACAGCAAGAGCAAAGAAGTTGATCAGGCAGGAATAAGCCTGAGGTGCCAGAAATATATCTACTGGGTCTTTCATATTATATGAGAAGATTAGAGTTTATATTGCAGTCAATGGGAGACTAGGAGATATTTATTTTTGTTTGTTTGTTTATTATATTAGATTACTTTGATCTAAGTCCAGAAGATAGCTTTGATGAGGAGGAGACTAGAGGCAAAAAAAGAAATTATGGGGCTTATGCAATTGTTTAACCAAAAGATCTTACCAAGAAGCATCTAAACTGTACAGAGATTTCATTAGGTAATAACTATACTTGAGGTAATGAATGTCAATTAGCTGACTTATTGAAGATAATTGAAAGTACAATTCATTGTACTTCTCTACTACTTCGCATTTTCACATATAAACCAAGTAGAGAACAGATATATATAACTAAAATTCTTCAAATATATATAGTGTATATATACAGATACATAGATGATAGATGATTGATAGATAGATAGATAGTTAGATAGATAGATAGATAGATAGATAGATAGATAGATAGATAGATAGATATGTACCAATGCAGAATTACTTCATTCAGTAGTAGATTGAAAGGGAAGATGCTCGCAATATTTGAGATAATAGTTAAGAGTTCAATAGTTATGTGGTTTGGAAATTTAAATTGTGTCCATAGAGAATATTATATGTGCTGCTAATTATAAAACCCTCTGCAGTTTCAGGCTTGCAAAATAAATAGAGGAAGAGAACAGAGTTTTGACTTCAAGCTTATATTATGTGAAAGTTAGCCAAAAAATTAAATTTTAAACATCAGTGCAACATTCTTATGGAATCAAGGATAAAAAGTGTGTATTCAAACCTTTAAATTTTTAGTCAGTGTTTTGTTAACCAATAAAAGTAATTTGTCTTTTTTTTTTAACTTTGAAAAAAGAGTTTTATCTATCACTTTACTGAAATTACCAATATTGAAATAAACGATAAAATGTGAGAGAAAAGGAAATAGTTAAAATAACGACTTTTATTTCCTCTATCAATTTTCACATCACGAATTGTAATGTTTTAATCTTAATATAACACAACCAATATTTTTTTTTACTATTTGCCAGGAATAAGGCTCCTATAACAATAACTCATTTAAACATTGCCATAAACTATAAGGTATATATGATTATTATTTTTATTTTTTAGTTGAGCCCTTTAAGAAATTAGCCCAAAGCTCATTAATTCAACTAATATTTGTAGAGGTTGCTATGTGCCAGGTGCCATGATAGGTTCTGTAGGAATGGTAGTTACGCTATAAAAGTTGTTAAGCTTTGTTGATAATTTCATTAAATTTACAGCAATTTACTTAGACCAGAGAACCCCAAGAAGTACATAGTTTCTACAGTTAGCTCTTGAACTCTCATCAAGTGAATTGCAATTATCTTTGCAGTGGAATCTATCCTTCTTCCTCCAGGTCAGACAGTAGTTCTATGTGTTGTTGGACAGGTCACAGGGCACAAATTTAAAACTCTCCCCTTTCCGAGGGGTTTGTTCCATTCATTTAATGGGGATAATGTAGATTGTCTGGATTCTATGTGTTGAACATATGATGCATCATTTGTTGGCAAAGAAATGTGATATTTTGATTGAAATAAGATGTATTAACTTGTGGATTAGCTTGGTGAGTTGAGAATGGTGTATATATCACTAGGTTTAGACTCCTGGTGGGTTTTTCAAACTAAAACCACCCCTTGTACTTCCACATACCAGATTCTAACATCTAAAAACCTCCATAATTCTTGTTTTCTTTCTACTTCTAATCTTTTCCTCACGATTTGCTTCCATAGTGTTTACCCTATAATGGAGAGCTAACTAATC